TAGTCCTTCTATTCTCACTGTTAAATATGAAAAAAGATGATGCATCAACACTATCAATTCCCTTTACAATCTTAAACACCTCAATCAGATCCTTTCCATCCAGCCACTCTTCTATCCAGTTGGATAACTTATCCCCCACACCTATAGGGCAAATATTTTTGACAAGCCTTTTATGTGACACCTTGTCAAATGCTTTCTGAAAATCCAGATACATCAAATATACATTCTTACCCTCATCTACATAAGTAATAACCTTTTCAAATAATGTTAAAAGATTTGTAAGGCAAGACTTTATCTTAGTGAAACCATGTTGACTATCCAATAAAATTCTAAACTTTGTGAAATGACTTTGCAAAGCATCTTTTAACAGACTTTCCAAAACTTTTCCCACTACTGGTGTAAAACTAATGGGTCTATAATTACTGGGACAATTTTTATCACTTCCTTTGAAAAGAGGAATTACATTAGCTAACTTCCAATTCTCTGGTACCTGCCCACTATTCAAGGACAAAAAATAGTAGTAAGTGGCTCACATGTCCAATCTTTAACCTCTTTCAAAACCCTTGGGGAAATATTATCTGGCCCAGGAGCCTTATCATTTTTTAAACTTCCCAATTTCTTCTAACCAGCTCAGAATTAATGCAGTCATCTTATTTGATCTCATTTCCTTAGCTGTTGTAACTGTGGTTGGCATTATCAAAGTGTGTTTTCCCAATGTACTTTACATAGTTAAGGTTCTTTTTGTGTGAAATTGTGCATTTTGCCTGTGTTTAATAATAAATGGTCTGTTTTATGTATTTAATTCTATTGTACCAAGGTTTTTTATATAGTAGTAAGTTTTCACTGTTAAACATTTTCTGTTTATGTGTATGGTTGCATCTGTGTTAAAGGTTATATTTTTGTATAACATGTATGGTGTCATTGTTAAAGGTTTTTATTTTAATGAAATTATTAGTTTACGAATCTAATGAGATTTCTGTGATAACGGGTTTTTGATTATGAATTGTATTTGTTGTGAAATTGAATTTATTTATCA